AGAGAGAGAGAGAGAGAGAGAGAGAGAGAGAGAGAGAGAGAGAGAGAGAGATTGAGATTGTGTGTTCGTGGACGGGGTAGTGAGAGAGAGGAGGGAGAATAAGATTGGTGGTTGCATTTTCTGTTTCTCCCTCGCACAGTCTACGGCTCACCACTATGGCGTGTAAATTATTGCGTAGCATACGACGTCACGCGAATCAGCGTGTCCCGTCGGTTTCTGACCCTGCTCTCCATTACCGCTACGATTATTATTTTTCCCTCCCTCACACCCTCGTATTTTTTTCCTTCGTTCAGCCGCGTGCGCCTGTGTGATATTTCTATCCCTCGGACGCCCAACAGCAGGGAGCTTTATTCGCTTGCGGATGGGGAGGAAACCCCATTTTCGCATAGCTGTATATCGTTTCGTAGACACGATATTTCCTACTTTTTGAAGTATTTTTCAGTATTTTGGCGCGAGTAATTTGCTGAATAATTATTTGGGTCACTAAAATGCCTTTTAATTTGATTTGTATATAGCTTCCCTTTTTTTCTTTGTTTGGCGCTCACAGTCTTTGCACTATTTTTCACTATTGCACAGAATACTGTTTTCCTTTTTACCTTTTTGGTTTAGGTGTACCGTTTCAGGGCGTGATTAATTTTGTGTCTACCTAAAGGAGCTGGTGTGAAACGTATTTCACAAACAGCCATCAATAAGGAATACATTAAAAAAATCTTAAAGAATAAACAAAACAAGGTTTGATAAAATTCGCTGTTTTTCGTTCTGTTTTTATTTTTAACTTGATTCTAGTTACCTTGAACATTTATTATTTATCCGCCCCCAATGTGCATGTTTTCACATACCCCTTTCCTTTTACAGCTAGATCTTGTATTTGTTTTCTATTTAATTAGTGAATTATTTTAATGTGCACTCTTAACCCGAATCCCTTCTTTTTTCGCAGCCTCTCTACTTTGTATTATCTTTTTCTTCCTCTTTTATGGCAGGCAGTTCAATTTTATATGGTTTCACAACCATAGAACTGTCTGCCATATGTTTCTTTAGCACCTCCGTTTTTTTGTGATCTCTCGTCTGACTTTTTCTGTCTGACTTTTTCTCTCTTTCTATTCTGCTCCATTCCTTTTCCTTAATACCTTTAACTTTAAAATCCTCGATAATTTTGAAATCTAAATATTTATTTTAAACCGTACTTTTTCTAAATAATGATATAATGTTCAATAACACTAGAGCTCCCATTGCGGGTCTGACGATGATGAAAAGAAAGAAGTGAGCTGAGGGTGTTAAAACTAGTTTGTGGGTCGTGTAACAAGTTGGTGCTAAGGAACTGTGACAACAACAGCGCACAGCAGATCCTGGAAACCCATGAGCGGACTGTGGGACAAATGGGGGTATCGTGAATCACGAGGCTGAATGAGCACTCCGTGATGCACGTACCCCGATCTGTATGTGCAACCTATGTCACAACTAGTCTGTAGGTTTGTTGTTGGACTTCACGTCGGCAGCGCACCTAGTGAAGCGGTAGCCCACCGTTCCAGCTTCTGTCCATTATTCATTCAATAAGTGAACTTTCCTCTTGTTTTTTTTCTTCCAAAGCCCCCGTCGTAAAGCCATTCGGACTGCCACTCACTTTGCGTAAGCGAAACAAATGAACATTTCCTTCTGTGTTTGGTAATGAATGAGGTAGCCGCGCGTAGCCTTAGCCTTGGCACGAGCCTTGACCGCTTGGGCTGTGCCTCGCAGAGCTACGCGCAAGCAATGCGCAACGCAGCAAAAGCATTCAGTAGCGGACAGGGCATGCTGTGCCGAGCGCGTCGCTCGGCCGCGCTCCGCCCCTGAGGGCTACTGCATGGGGACTGAGAGCGGGCCGGCGGCCGCGCTCCCTCTCACGCCACCGCACTAGAAAATCAAACGTGTACACGCGTTAAAAGAACAACTCATGACGATTATTTTTATACATGTATATTTATTTATTTTTTTGCTTCTGTTGATTTCCTTAAAACGAGTGACACTTTTCAAGTGTATGTTTGTGTGTATACCTTTGTTTTCCTGGACTGCAAAATCAAGTTCTTGTTGTACATGTACATAACGACGACACTACACAATCATGTTTACAATCTCTTCACTTAACACATTCACTGCGGTGTGACCACAATGTGGACACGCTTTGCTGGGTCTTAAACGCCCCACATTGTGAGCCAGCCGCACTGAACGTGTTAATGTCACGTCTGTCCTTCCTTTCCGAAACGGAGGCATGCAAAGTCATTCTCTCCGACTTTCTCCTTTGCTGCCTGGTCAGCCATACCGGCCCTCCCCGCACCCTTCTCTTCTGCTTGCTCCTCTGTGTTGTCCTGTCCGTAGTTTGGAGGCACGCATGCTCCGAGTTTGCGTAGTTTTGGCTCGTAGTCGTTGAGTAAGTTTTCGTGTTTTGCGTAAGTACGTAAGTACCTTATGTGTAAAGTAACGGACAAGAAGGTCAGGGAAACGCCTAAACCCGAGCACAGGCGCCAGATTGGAGAACTTGATGTCTTTTAATTGGCATATTTTTGAAAAAAAAAATGTATGCATTTGAATCTTCTTAGTCAGAAAATGTTTTCACTTATACAGCCGCAGGGGCGGGACCTCATCCTGCCCTGCAAGCTGGGCGTGCTCCAGCTGCACCCTGACCTTTTGCCTGTGTGGCCTGCTCGTCGAGATAGAGACCTTTTTTGCAAGCGAGTGAGTGGGTGCATATGTGTGTGCGTGTGTATGAGGCGCATGTGGGAGTGCGCATGCGCATGTGTCCCGGGCTATCATCCGCGTGACGGACGCGCAGGCAACCCGTCACGAGAGCGTCTTTAGGACGAAAGCAGGTCAGAATTTGGGCTAACTCGTTTCACAGTGGCGGCATGTTGACGTCAATGACATCTTCGTGACGATTGCCCGGCCGCGGACCCTGCCAGTGTAGGCGACAAGGGTAGGGGTAGGCACCCGTGTAGAGCGAAACCCAGTAAAATTTACGTAGATTTGTCGTTTTTGAAACTACAATTTTACGACGAAAGAACGACAAATTCCGCTTCAAAATTACGACAAATTAACGACAGTTGCGTTTGACGTAAATTTGCCGTGGAGTTGTGGTTTTTTTGTCGTGAAAGCGTACATATTAAAGACGAAAGAACGACAAATTTATCACAAGCGTGCGTGTGGCTGCGCAAAAACGTGAAAGGCAGTCGGAGGCGAGCGGGAGTCGAACCGCCGCCCTTCTGCTGACAACCTGGCACTGTATCCACTCGGCCGAAGTGACTACTGACTGTGGAGGCGTCCGGTCGTCATCATATACAGCGCGCAAGTCACTACAGAATAACGACAAATTTACTGGAGGCTGCGCGCGCCGCATGCGATGGCGAGCGGACGCCTCCACAGTCAGTTGTCACTTCGGCCGAGTGGATACAGTGCCAGGTTGTCAGAAGTAGGGCGGCGGTTCGACTCCCGCTCGCTTCCGACTGCCCTTCACGTTTTTGCGCAGCCACACGCACGCTTGTGATAAATTTGTCGTTCTTTCGTCTTTAATATGTACGCTTTCACGACAAAAAAACTACAACTCTACGGCAAATTTACGTCAAACGCAACTGTCGTTAATTTGTCGTAATTTTGAAGTGAAATTTGTCGTTCTTTCGTCGTTAAATTGTAGTTTAAAAAACGACAAATCTACGTCAATTTTACTGGGTTTCGCTCTACACGGGCATTAGCGGGCAGCGTTCTCCTAGGGCTGACATTTACCTACCTATATCATTTCATGTAATTGGTGTCTACCTAGAATTAATGAATAATTTTCTTGATTGTTGCGGATCTTTTTACCCGCATTTTTAGTTTGTGTTTCAATGTTTGTAGCTGTAGTATATGAAAAAGAGATCAGAATAATCAGTTAACCTTTTTGAGTGTTTTTTTAGTACTGTCTTTTTTTTCCCTGTGGGTCTTGTAAGGTCTTGTAGTGACTGTTTATCTCCGGCCGGGGACTAGCCGGGGCCCGGCGAGCAGCAGAGGTACCTCCTCGGCCTTGGCCAAGGAGGCCACGGCCACGGCCCGCCGTGAGATACGTCCCTCTGTGGGCAGAGCTCGTGGCCGCCAGCGCCGGCGCTAGCGGAGCCGGCGCAGCCCCGCCAGCACAATCAATGACTAAAGGTCTTGCCGTGCGGTCGGTCTGGTACTTTCACAAACTTGTTGAGAGGAAGTTTGGAAATGGCAAGAAAGTGGGTGTCTCGGTGGGTAGGGGATGGGACGGGAGGGGGTGAGGCTCTGTTGGGAGTAGAGGGTATCTATCAAGCTGAATTATTTTGTGTCGGGGAATCCATAATTTCATCGAGGGCGGGTAGGGGTGGGGGTGTTACAGTCCAAGGAAAACAAATGTGTAAAATTTAAGATTCACACCTCTTGAACCGCTACTTATTAGAGCTGCAGTTCAAAGTTTGATCATTGACTTTAGTAAAGTCGGTTGCCGTGTAATGTTGTGTGAATGTTGTACCCCTGGAGTAGTTTGAGTCAACCTCGAAAAAAAAGTAAAAGTATTAAACTAAACATTTGTTTTACCGTTGGGGTTCAGCCGACCATCGTGCGAAAACATGGCGGGAGTTGTGGCAGTAACTCCGGGGAGAGGTAACGGGGGCTGCCTCCGGCTGCCTCCGGGGCCGCAGCGCTCCTGTGGTTTCTATGTTCCGGGTCCAGTGGGGCCCGCGGCGGCCAGCCCGGCTATTCCCGGAGTGAGGACCCCGGAGCCAAGGTCCCGGAGGAACCGCTGGAACTGGAGCAGCCCGAGGCGGCCCGGTCCGGCCGGTGTAGTGTAGGGGTGAATGAGGGGGGAGGGGGATTGGGAGGGGAGGGGGGACTGTAATGCTCGGGGGCGGCCTCGCTGTCTTACCTCGCATGGTATGGCCATGTTTAACTGAGTGCACCTGTTGTTGTCTGTTTGTGGCATTGCGCATTGGCATGCAGGCACGCCCAGAGGTACGTAACAGTGTGTAAGTAGTCAGTAGCGTGTCCAGCCTGGGGCGCCCATGGCACAAGCTTGTCTCTGACTTTTTTTTTATTGCCTCGCAAATAGACGTCGAGAGTTATCACTGTACGACGTGGCCATGGGCGCCCTCTGGTACGAAATACCCAAGTGGAGCGCTCATTTTCCAGCAAAAGAGTGAAAAATAGGCTTCTTTTTCTGTGCACCCTTGACTCATACACCATTTCGTGCAACGACTTCTGTGTTGCTTTCGATGTATTTTTATTTGTTTTTAATTTTATGGCAATGTTTTTTTTTTTTACCGAGCTACGTATTATTTTGCTGGAAAATGGGCTGGGTTTTTGTCATGGCTCTGGTATAGATTAAGTTTGTTCATCTTGCTTGTCATTTTAACTGATTTTAATGGTATATTCTCGACCTCACGGAGTAATCTTCTCTCCACATTTTATCTATACAGAGCCATGTTAAAATGTATGGATAATAAAAGCAGATGAAATTTCGACTAATGACTATATCTTCTACTTTTTTTCTCTACTATTTACCCTGAATTTCAATCTGTTTTATTATTTACACATTCATATGCTCCACATATGTGGTACACAGCTATTCATCAAAATCATAAAGTAGTCCCTTAAAATAAACACTACGTTCTTACAAAATTAACGTGATTGAGTTGTGTGCCACATCCACTTCTAACCAGAGTCTTCTTCCTTCTTCTCTGTCCCAACTGTCTTCCTACCTTCTGTCCCCCCTTCTAGAACCGTCTTTATTATGAAAAGGGCCACTGTATACCTATATTAATAACTGTAAAGTAAAATTTTATAAAATTACCAACATTTTCTCTTGCGCCTTGGAATGTTGCCATTCAGTGTTGCCTGCTTTTCGATTTTATGCATCCTTGCTCCCATTTTCCTGTCCTGTATCAGGCATTCAGCCCACTAACCTCTGACTTGACACACGATTTACTTTGAGAGATAAATTATGACACAAATAAGTAAAATGACTATCTATTCCTACGAAATAATTTTCTCCAAAGAAAATGATAGAACTTAAATGACTGAACTGGGGTATAATTCACTCGTATTTGTACAAATTTGTCTCAATGAAGTAATGTGCTCCTGGGGCAAAATTGTTTCTGTCTGTTCGTTTGGAGTGTAACAGATCATTCGTGCCCAATTAAAAGTAACTTGAATTCTGACCGGAAAGTCAAAACTAAACGAACGCACTAACTGGATTTGTATTTTTTATTTGAACGAAGTTAAGCAATCAAACTTTTTGCGCACTCTTTCTGCATTGATTTCAATAATACTTTTGTGCATTCATGTGCACGAAATCATGAATCACAAATTTGTTAGTAACGAAGCGTAGGTTTAACTAGCACGAACGTTTGCACAAAAATATTCAAATACAGTGAGTGTGTAAACGAGCCCCTTCTGAGAGAAAAGATGTTTTGCGGTAGGCGCGGCGTATCTTAGGCTGCTGCGGATGGCATGCTGCTCGAATGACCTTGAGTCTGGCCTCGGCAGCTCGACTCGCAGCTCTCCCTGTCTCCCGCTCGCTCTCGCCACTAGACTCTCTCTAGACTGCTGTCCTTCTAGCGCTCGCGGAGCGGGCGGCGCTGCATGTGCGTCCAGGCTGTTCAGCCGCCAATCGGATCGGGGCGGAGCGGAGCGGGCCAAGGAGCGGCCAGGGGCCAAGGCGGCTAACCGAGCCAAGCCCGTTGATTTACGCTCTGGGCGTGGTGCCGGTCGGGTCCAAGTCCCGCCGCCTGGCGGGCCCGCCCCGCCCCGCCCCGCCCCGCCCCGGCAGCGCGGAGTGCATGCAGGAGCGTCCTTAGCACGTGTTGTCGGCATACCGACGCAAAAGGAGTGACTGTACAACACGACGAGATCCGTTAAACAATGTTGTTCTTTTTCGAGAGGCAAGCGAGGAATTTGCAAAAGAAAAAAAACGTATGAGTATGTGTGCGCTAGCACACATGCGAAAGGTGCAAGAAAACACAATGCGAAAAGCAACAAAATATTCATAATGCAAGACAAGGGAAAATGTTTTGAATCACTCGGCGTGCTCACACCCGTGTGGTGCGACATTACAGAAACACCATTATGGCTGCTTCTACAAATCGCCCCGATCAAGAACGAGCGCGACCTGGTGGTGCTGTTCCTGCTCACCTTCAGGGACATCACCGCACTCAAGCAGCCCATCGAGACCGACGACAACAAAGGAGGTAAGAGGACAGGCGACGATTCGCCGTGAGATTGAGAAGCCAGTCATGAGGCAAATTTTTGAGGAACCGAAATTTCGCCAAAGAATAAACGCTGTTTAATCAAGTGTTCGACCGGTAAAACTTTTTCAAGTGGGCAGATGAAATTTAACACTCCCCAATAGTTTTCAACTAGTTTGTTGTGCATTTCTCAGTTGCACACTTCCGACTCCCAAAAAAAGGAATTCGCGTTACGGTCAGAGGGAGTAGGCACCGGTGCGTGCAGGGGAATACCCAGTAGTGTGCAGCCAACGAGGGCGATACGTGCCTGCCTAACCACATGTTGTGCCTCCTTCAGCAGGACTCAGCAAATTCGCCAAGTTGGCTCGGTCGGTGACTCGCAGTCGGTCGGTGCTCGTGTCCCAGTTCTCCTCCCACCTCCCCAACCTCAAGGACACCACCAAGCAGTCCAACTTGGCGCATGTAAGTGTGCACGTGTGTGTGAACGCGCGCGCGCGCGCTGGCCGTGAAAAAAAGCGTGTCCAGAAGTTGACAGCTCTGGTGCACTCTGGTTTTTTCTGGTCGGTCCCTGGACCCGTATCTTATTCCGAGTTGAAATATAGCGAGTGTGTGCATGTGCTGTACCCTCCGGTGCCCTCTCGTCCTTTGCAGATGATGAGCTTGAGTGCGGACGTGATGCCCCAGTACCGCCAGGAGGCCCCCAAGACGCCGCCCCACATCCTGCTGCACTACTGCGCCTTCAAGGCCATCTGGGACTGGATCATCCTCTGCCTCACCTTCTACACCGCCATCATGGTGCCTTACAACGTGGCTTTCAAGAACAAGACGTCCGAGGACGTGTCCCTGCTGGTCGTCGACTCGATCGTCGACGTCATCTTCTTCATCGACATCGTCCTCAACTTCCACACGACGTTTGTGGGGCCGGGCGGCGAGGTGGTGTCCGACCCCAAAGTGATCCGCATGAACTACCTCAAGTCCTGGTTCATCATCGACCTGCTCTCCTGCTTGCCGTACGACGTGTTCAACGCGTTTGACCACGACGAGGACGTAAGTACCGGCCACCTGTCCTCGTCTACCGCGGCCCCCGCGCGGGCCTCCAACAGTACGCCCCCCACGGGCACGCCCCTGGGCCCCCTGGGCATGGGCCGCCACAAGGCGGGCGGCAGCGGTGGCGGCGCGGCCGCGAGGGGCGCCAGGAGCACGAGCTTCCTTGACCCGGACGGGGACGGCAGCATCCTGGACGAGCACGTGAGTGGGCCTCCCCCACCACCGGAGACCTAATTAGGATCACCACCACCTCCACCCCTCACCCACCCTTGGGGGGGACCATAGCAGCCCAACTAAAAGCACCTCTCCCTCCCTCGCCCACCCCTTACTTTCCAGCTCGACGCAGTCCCTTAGGCCCGTTTAGGACTTTCCGGCTGACCGGAGCCCGCCAACACCCCCTCCGTAACCTAATGTCCATTGTGGGCACGAAGTATGAAGTAGTCTTTTGTCGGCGCACAGAACCCCCTTATTTTGTCTGACCGTAGATCAATATTATTTTCTGAATAAAGATTTTACTCACTGAAACTCTGGTATATTGTGTAAAATTAGGAACCGCTTGTTACTGACAAGGAAGATAGTTGAAATTTTTCCAATACATTCAAATTTTGAGTTAATCGCAAAACTCAAAGCCTGAAAAAAATGTTTCATAGAATAGTGGAAAACTGTTATGGTGTCCATTTCAATACTAGAATTAACCCATTCAGTTGATGAAACCAGTAATCCTTTAATCTTTTGTACACTGAAACGAAATTGCAATATCGTTTGACAAAGTTGTCAATTTACATTTAGTTTCAAGGTCCGCACCAAGGCATCTTCCAGAGCAGTACAACAGGTACATCTCCTACGGCCCATGCTCGGCTCCGTGGCTGTTCGCTTTACCGGCCAAGTTCAGTAGAACGGGCGGAAGAGGGCGGCCACTGCTATTAAATCTCCCCCATTATATCCAGCTCGGCGGAGGAGCGTAGATCCCGGAGCTAGATAAGCGCACCCCCGCCCACCGCCGCTGAAGCGCCCGCCGCCGCCACCACCGCCGCCGCTAGCCCCCTGCCAGATAGGCCGCCATCCAGCTGCCCCGCACCCGCGTCTGCGGGTTGCCTATCCGCGACTCCGCGGGCGCTCCCCGCTCTCGGCCTGGTCTACTCACCGTTCTGCAAGCGCGTGTATTGTATTTGCGGCTCATCTGTCGAGCGCTTGTGCCCTCATTTCCGTTATTTTACTCTCATACACTACTGTTGAAAATTTCCGCCAATGTACACGTGCTACGCAATATTGTTTTGTTTTTTTAATTTAATAATGTGACACTATTGATTGTTTGCTTGGTACTCCGAGACAAAGTTGACGTCGTTAAAATGATTCATGCAATCGTGTAAATTTTTGTGATCGCAACATTTCTAACAGTGATAAACTTTGTACTTTTCACGTCACGCCTCATTCGAATTCAAAGGCCGCTTCTGACATTCTACACGGTAATTTCTCATCCTTGGCGATGTTGCAGGGCATCGGATCGTTGTTCAGCGCGCTCAAGGTGGTGCGCCTGCTCCGGCTGGGCCGGGTGGTCCGCAAGTTGGACCGCTACCTGGAGTACGGCGCCGCCATGCTCATCCTCCTGCTCTGCTTCTACATGCTCGTGGCACACTGGCTGGCGTGCATCTGGTACTCTATCGGTGAGTAGCCCGGCCCCTGGCGTAGTATTTGTCGTATTTGTCGTATTCTTTTTCGTATGACTGAAATGTCGTGTTGCTGCCTTCCTGTCCTGGGCCACCGTCTGTTGTGTTTGCGAGTGTCGAGTAGCTTGGCACGCAAGTTCGTGTTCATGTGTGACCACATTGTGACCACACCTCGCACTCGGCCGGTTTTCTCATTGGCCTCACCTGGCCTTGCCACTTCCCACCCGCAGCCGAGACAGGGGCGACCGCCGACGAGGCCGTGGCCGAGGCCGTGGCCGAGGCCGTGGCCGTGGCCGGCGAGGAGGCCAGCGAGGCCGTAGCCTTAGCGGTAACCGGGGGCGAAGCGAATGAGTATAGCGATGAGACGGAAGGTAGGCCACAGCCTCGGCCCACGCGGGGCCGGAAGTGCATCTTGAACCACTATTACTTCCACTTCCGCTTTGGTGGGGCCCGGCCCGGGACAGAGGGCTGGGCTCCCCGGGCCCCACCGTGCCCCACGCGGGGCCCCCCAGGCTCGCCTGCGAGCTCGCCTGCCCCGGGCGGGGCGGGGCGCGGGGCCCCGGCCTGGCCTGCAGCACGCTTCCGGTGCAGCGAGAAGAACGGGGTACGAGGAGAAGGATTGCAGGAAGAGCTTAGCAGTCTTACCGAACCGCTCGCTTCCCACACGGTCATGGAACGGAGCCATAACCTCACATTTAAACGGCCACAATGAGGTTTTGAGCTGCACTCGGCTGGCCTGGCGCCAGATGGCGTCGCGGCTGAGGAGGCTGCCGCAGGCCTCCCCAGCCGCACGCCTGGCTGCCTTCGGGAACTGTTGTACTTCTCGAACGCAGTGACGACGGCCATTTAAATTTCTTTTTTTGGGGCTCAGAAAGTGCCTGTTCGCCTCATTAATTTTAAACGTTGTTATTCCTCGCTTATTTGGTGAGCGCAGCTACGTGTGGCTGGCCTACTTTGCAGGCCCGGGTATGGTACCGTGCACGATACACGCTTGTAAGCTCGGATCACCTATACTGTCACTGCGAGTTCGGGGTAGAACGTTGTTAATTGCACTGCTTGAGGTTGGTCATGGTCCACCTCTGGTGTCGCAGCCCGACTTGCGCTACCCAGCCCGGCCCGGCCACCGAGCACCCACACCCACCCCAGCACCCATAGTAGCCCCTAGGAGGGTGGCCGGCAGGTGGCACATCCACCACCTTACAGCACCACTCTTCTCTACATCACCACACTACACCGCATGGTATAGCCGCTCGTGTCGCACCAGAATAAGCAGGCGGTGTTTGTCAACTGTCGATATTTCAGGATAAGAAAACATCTACCAATATACCAGGGAACAGTAGGATGAGGGACTGGGAGTGGTGAGGGCGGACGCGGGGCGGGTATTCAGAATCCGGTGATTTTATTCCGGTTGCCAATTCTCTTCTTCTTATTCAATTCGCCTTATCTGAAATGGACTATTACATCGCCCTTTATCCTCCCCGCCACCGAAGCGCAGCCCGACGGCTTGTTTGTGCCGCAGGGTCAGCCCCTCTCCGCGGCCCGCCCTCGGCCCGCCCCCAGTCCGCCCCCGGCCTCACTGCTGGCCTGGCCGGGCCCCACTGCTGGTTCGTCACCGTGGTCCGAATTCGGCGGCGGCTCTGAGCTCGCAGCTCAGCGGTCGATAATTTGTCGCAAACTTGGCCTCTCTTCCTCGCCCTATCTCGGTGTCCTCCTTTTGCCCCCCCCCCTCCT